TTGTGTTGTGCTAATTTCGTTGTGTTGTGCTAATTTTGCTGTGTTGTGGCTTGTTTCCATTATGTTGCGACTTGCTTCCGATGTGTTGTGCTAATTTCATTACGTTGCGGCTTGTTTCTGTTGTGTTGTAGAGATTTCGTTGTGTTGTAGAAATTATGCTGTGTTGTGGCTTGTTTCCGTTACGTTGCGACTTGCTTCTGATATGTTGTGCTAATTTCATTACGTTGCGGCTTGTTTCTGTTGTGTTGTAGAGATTTCGTTGTGTTGTAGAAATTATGCTGTGTTGTGGCTTGTTTCCGTTACGTTGCGACTTGCTTCTGATATGTTGTGCTAATTTCATTACGTTGCGGCTTGTTTCTGTTGTGTTGTAGAGATTTCGTTGTGTTGTAGAAATTTTGTTGTGTTGTGGAGATTTTGTTGCGTTGTGCACTACTGGGCCACCGTAGTTTTCACTAATTAACATCTGAAAAGTATAAAAATTGTAAGTCTTTACATTAAAGTGGCTTGTTATCAATATTCCAGGTGCCAGAGAAGGGATCCCTACCTCTCAGCCTTTGCCATTCCTTGATTCATCCATTCTGCTGTCGATGCATCAGTTAATGTCAACTATGATGCGTCAGCTTCAACCAGTGCTGGAAAGCTTCAATCAAACTCTGACACATCTGTCCAGTGAGGTGGAAGCATTGTCTCAGGACTTGAAGCAGTTGCGGATGGAACAGGAAGAACACAGGCCCATGACCAGAGGTGAAGATCATAGCGGACCTATCGAGCAAAGACTAGAGTACAGCCATCTCCAGATCAGTCAAATGAAAACCCAATTGGACGCACAGAAAGACCAGTTTGAGAGGGCCTTTCAGGTCCAGCAAGAACTGCTGAAACACAACCTAACAAAACTGAAGGAAGAAATGGATGATCAGATCAGTCAAAGTCAGGATGCACAGGTCATTCATTCACTAGGACAACTTGAAATGATTACTCAAAAAAATTAGCACATAAAAAAAGTGCATAAATTAATATATAATATATTTTGTGTTATACCAACAGGTGAATCTCCAGTCTCTAACTGAATTGGTTGAGGAGGTGAGACTTGGCCAGAAGAAGCTGGAAGGGGCACTGCAGAGAGAACGTGCTGAGTTTGTCAATCCGAGTGGAGGCCAGCCAACACAGGAGTCAGGAGTGTGGGAGGCCATCACTCGACTAGGTGAGAAGGCACAAAGTAACTCTGCGAAGCTCAGCAGCTTGTCTGAGACTTCTAAGGACTCTGATGGAGCGGTCCGGGCTTTGCAAAGAGACCTACTGGACCTGGAAGAGAGCCTAGAGGAGGTCAAACAACGAACTGAGGTCCACTTTGCAGAGACTGGTCTGGAGGTGGAGGCTACTCGTGTCAGGGTGCTCAACAGCGTTGGCGAGCTTACAGCTAACCTAAGTGCACACGAAGGTCAGTTGAGAGAAATTGAGCTTGACCTGGACAATATCTATCAACAACTACAAAAAAATGATTCAGCAGTTGAAGAGCAGGCCTGTAGCTGCAAGTCGATTGGCAGTTCACTAGCTAGGTTGGAGCTGGAGGTGGCTAATGCGACACATTTAGCCAAACAGAACCAGCTTGCACTTGAGGAGACAGATCTAGAAAGGAATCAGGTCACCGAAATGGAGGATCTTCATCAGGGCCTGCTGAACATAAAGGAATCATTGGCCTTTGAGCAGGGCAGAAGCAGGAGTCTTCAAGACAGCATGTCCCAGCTACAGGCTTCACTCCTGGACAGCCAGCAGGAGATCCGAGGCCTGAGGCAGCGGGACAAGGACAAGTCGAACGAAATTCAAGGCCTATCAGCCATCTTCTCTTCCCTCCTGAACGATGCCATACGCCACTCTGAAGTCCTGGAAGTGCTACTCGGAGAGGAGGTCCTGGAATTCACACGCTGGTCACACAACCAAAAGAAAGAGCTCAGTATCCCAGATCTTTTACAGAAAATGGATGTGATGCAGCAAAAGATTGAGACACATGATAGGATTCTGGCCTCCCTTCGGAGAAAGCATCCTGATCGAGATGAAATGAATAGAGATGACCCAGTGGCATACTTAGAGGGGACTGGTACAAATAACCAGGTGAGGGGCCCTGAAAGTTACCAGTCCTCTTTACCAGACACTTCGACTGGAGAGGAGGATGTGGATTATTCAGTCAGTGACTTCTGGAGTCTGGGAAAAGAGGTGGAGCAATTAGCAGGTAGAATAGCTATGCTGGAAGAACGCTGTGGAAACTGCACTGTGCCACCTGGTGGTTCTGCTGTAGAACTGCAGGTAGATATAGCATCCCTACGTCAGAACCTGGAGGATCATTTGAGAATGTTTCGAAAACTGTTCAGTAATACAGAAGAACTGATCAGCTCGACCAGAAACCTGAATCTAGATGAAGTTTGGAGACTGGTGAGAAAAAAAGAAGGAAAGAGAAGAAGGGGGAGTCTAAAGCAAGAAGACCAGATCAAAAAAGAAGAAAAGTCTTCCAGTGAGCGAAGCAAAAGATACAGTGAAAGAGGTAAGAGATCTTACTACATTTATTTCATTTGCCATTAATTTTGAACAAGAATGAAGTTTTTTGATACTGAGAGACCTGCATTGTGTACATACAACAACACTGCCCATCAGTGGACAACACTAAAACTACATCATGACAAAGCATTTTTCCTCTAACTGAAAATGATAATTTTTTTACCTAAAAATCATCAAAATAATTGTATCTCTTCAGAACATGCTTGGTTACCACATTCCCCCGTGGTGTTCATCACAACCCTGGACTACAGAAGAGGACCAAATGGGGAGCTCACATCGAAAAACGTAGCTGTGAACTATGGTGGTACTTTTAATCCTACATCAGGGGTGTTCCAGGCCCCTGAGACTGGATTCTATCTCTTTTTAGTAACCTTAGACTTTGAGAGAGGCCTTTCATTGGCTGTATTAAAGCGCAGCGGAGTTCCAGTGGCCTCTCTCAGACAGGAACAAGGGGAGAAAATGGGACCAGTGAGCCGAGCCGCCTTGCTGGAGCTTCAGCAAGGGGAGACAGTTACATTAGATTTGATGCATGGATCATTACGAAAAGCGCAGCCTGGGGACAACACACTGTCTGGACTATTGCTCTTCATTACAGAGCACAAGGACATGCTGTGAAGAGAACTGGGTGAGTGACAGAAGCATGGGAGGATACGTCTGAGTCTGACGCACTGTGCGTGCGTCACTGCCAGACATGTTGTATTTTGTATGCATGAAGCCTCTTCTTGAAGGTGCAAAAAGTAATTGTTGAAATATTGTTTTGTATCTGATTCTGGAATAATACTGAGAAACATGGTAAGTTAAAGAAATAAGGGGGAGACAGTTATATAACAGAATTATTTAGATACCACCAGCCCTTCTGTTGATCTTTAAAATGTGGAGGATCTAATAATAAGGCAAGGAATACATGGAAACAAGTTCCTGAGGCAATATGAAAAAACAAAAGTACCAATAGTGAGGGAAACTCTGTACATCAAAAAATGGACATCCAGCAATTCCTTCATTCAGTTTGATCACATTCAACGCAAACGTCAATCAAGAAGAAAAAAACCCCATAATGATTGTGTACTAAAATAAGGTAATTTACTTAAAAATTGATACATTGGACTAATTCTGTGTACAGAACAGCTTTTCTTGGAAAACATAAGGCACCTCTCTTAAAACCAGATTAAAACAAAGTTCATATTATTCAGGCCATTTTACGTTTCCTTACATATTAAACAATTAAGACAAAAACATTGGGTAGTCATTTCTCTAGACATATGAGCTTAAATTAGTTCAAATATGATTTTACAAAGTAACTGGCATGGTTGCAATGGACAGAATAGGCTTGAGGACAACTGCAGCCCAAACATTTAGAAAAGACACACAAGCAATGGGATATCTGAATCTTCAATGCAAAGTAAAGGGTTTTGTACCTGTATGATTTATATTTCTCAGATTGCTATAACAACTTATTTAAATGCACCCCGATAATATAACATTCATGAAGGCAGCAATGACCAATTTTACAAAGGACCCTGGTTTTGAAATTAAACCTGTATTTTCCACAAGTGCTAATAATGCATTGTTGTGTGATTTAAGTTTGAGATTACGCTCTTGGAAAAAAATAAAATAATAATTCTGAAAAGAAAAAAAAAGTTATGAAAAAAAGTATTTTCATGTATATGAAAGTTGAACTAAAGTTACCTGTCCTGACTTTTCAGTAAATTACATACAAAGGGTCTAGTTTTACACATTATAGAAATGACAAATAATGATAATTCACACCCACACTTTCATAGGAAGTCATTAAATGTAGAATTTCATATTGAAGTCATAAATTTAGTATTTGAAAGGTTGAGCTGCACTGTAAAAGCATTGAGAATGTCAGTTGCAAGAACAGTGTTAATAGTCCTGCAAGTAAAAATATCTTACCACAGTAATTTATACTATATGACATGACATGAATAAATAGCACATGCATTTGCATTATTCTATCACATTAGACATTTATGAGTCATATGATTCCCAAGCGTCACATTAGATTCAAGGCAAAACTGTTTAAATGAGGCATTGAAAACAGCAATCCAACCTGACACTGATGAATCAGATGTGATATAGTGAGGTTCACTCGAAGGCTATTGGATAAAATACTACAACGTTTATGTGGCATTCGGTAGCAGTGGGCATACATCTGCACCGACACACCTGCAATAAGCCAGATCAGATCTGCCATTCTGAGAGATTGAAAGTCACCATATCTTCTAGATTAATAGATCTTGTATGGCGGCGGTGTTGGCAATATTTGACCGGTTGTACTTAAATTCTTCAGGCCAGAGCTGGAGTAATGATCACATTACTCCTGTCATTATACCTGAACTTTCTATTCCTAATAGTGAATACATTCCCAGCCTTCAGAAAATGGGAAGGTTTCAACTAGAAAACCTTATTGCTAACACTCTCATATCTTCTAGATTAATAGATCTTGTATGGCGGCGGTGTTGGCAATATTTGACCGGTTGTACTTAAATTCTTCAGGCCAGAGCTGGAGTAATGATCACATTACTCCTGTCATTATACCTGAACTTTCTATTCCTAATAGTGAATACATTCCCAGTCTTCAGAAAATGGGAAGGTTTCAACTAGAAAACCTTATTGCTAACACTCTTTTTTGGACAGATTCTCAGAAAGGAAAGCAGTTGAAGGAATCATTTTTCAAAAAGGCTATTAATTAAAATATCAATATGTAGTAACGGGACGTTTTTTTGTTTTATACATATAATATAGGTAATTTGAATAAAACAGGGTCTGTTCACTTTTGATGTTTCAGTGGCCACAGCTGCACATGATCCAAATGCAAAGTTGCCATTTTGGGACACTAGCCACACTGGAGCATATCCCAAGCATATTATATCACCCCAATATGTCCGCCTCTCAACTCAGTCAATAATAGAGGGGTCAGTCATCAAGCCTTCTCCCAAACGGCTCCATCACTGCTGGCACCATGCCACTCCTCCATACAGACGTATCGTATTACACAGCTTTCACAGAAAGCACCATATGCTCTTTGAATCTCTCCCAATATATAAAAGAGCATCTGAAGAAGGAAAAATGGTGGCAATGGGGAGGATGTGAGTACCGATGCCTGCAGAGCAGTTGTCCTTAATTCCTCGTGGATGCACTATGGCACATACAGTCCAGCAGAGGGTACTATATGACACTAAGAGCATTACTGCAACAGGGCGAGGAAACACAGCCAGACAAGGAGGCAAATGTTCTGCTCAGCAGCACTCCCACAGGTCTGTTTAGGAACTGAGGCAATAATTCATAAAAGTGAGCATAAATATCTCCATGATTTCTCTCAGACTGGCATTGGAGGGAAAACTGATCATATTTTGATATCCTGTGATTCAACCATTTTGGCGAGTGTTTTTTTGACTCGAAGAGCTGTGAGGCGAGAGGCTGGGTTGTGTGCCCAGCACTCAGACATGAGCTTTAGCATGGCCCGTAAGCACTGTGTGGAGACAAAAAGCAAAAAAACTATTGTTTTAGGGTTGCATTTTACACAACTATAAAATAGTCAGTTACAAAGCAGTGATGTTTAAAAAAACCCATGAAATCAAACGTTTTGTGGCATTTTAGGAATGAGATCAACTTTATGGCAAATGTATTCATACATGTTGACAAAATTAAGTTTTTATAAGCAGGTAAGATTGAATTTTAACTTGAAGATTTGTAGATTGTTAAAAAAATTCTCTCTCATATAAACGCTGTTCGTTTCAACTTACTATTCAAAGAATTCTGAATTAAGAAATGTTTCATGAGCACCACATTAGCGTATTTGAATGATTTCTGAAGGATCATGCAACACTGTTTGTTTCTGTCTTTTGAGTTTTTCAAAAAATGTTAACTGAGCGCTGTTGAAATAAACTGCAATGCAAGATCTTACCTCGTCACTGTTCCAGCGATTAGACACCACTGGTCGCATGCCTTTAACACACACCACTTCCCTCATGTCCTCGTAGGACGGTTCTGAAGGTACCATGTCCCAGTATGGCAACTGATACTCCTCAACAATACCTGCACATAAAAGAAAATGCCATTATTAAATTTCAAAGCATAAACATGCTTTGAAATGTGTAAACATTTTAATCTCACATACACTGACATAACCCACATAAACTAACCTCCTGTCACGCATCGGCGGGCCATCTCCCAAACAATGAGCCCATAGCTGTAAATATCAGCCATTATGTACGCTTGGAATTGGTTCTTATTTAGGGTCTCATCCAGGACCTCTGGTGCCATGTACCGCCGTGTGCCCATCCTTGTGCTCAGAGGGACGTCCACCTCATTGGTATCACTAAAATAAAAGCAAATGCAGATGATTGCATACTAGCTGTAAATAAAGTATGCTTCAATTATGTTTTTTTTACGTTGCCGGTGTGTTTGCATGCATGTCTGAGTGTGTGTTGCAAGAGTGTCTTCACCTGTTGTATTTCACAGCCAGGCCCAGATCAGCGATGCAACAGGTGCCATTCTTCTTTATGAGCATGTTTTTGCTCTTCAGGTCTCTGTGAGCGATGGCAGGTTTGCCCTGCGTACCGTAGATCTCTGTGTGGAGGTGGCACAGTCCGCAGGCTGCAGAATAGGCCAGCCTCAACAGAGCCTGTGTGTCCAGGGTGGTGTATTTCAGATAGTCATAGAGAGAACCATTCTCGTGGTAGTCTGTGATGAGGAAAAGCTGAGTGAACGCTCCCGTGCCCTTAATATCTGCAGCTATAAAGCCTGGAGCAAGATAGGAAAAATGAGTGTTAATGTAAATAAAATATTACATCTGTAAATGTTTTATATCAGGGTACAAAACTACAAAAAAAACTACCATGAACCCACTGAATGTTTCTTTGTCCCTTAATATGATAATATTTTGAATAGAAACATGTGTTTGACTCTGTACATCGATAATGATTATTTTAAATGCATATATACAATATAATGTGTGTCCCTACTCAGTGTCTTCGGCCTTTCTTTTGTGATGGAACCTACCGAGTATATTTTCGTGCCTCATGAGCACCGTTTGGTAAATCTCGGTCTCTCTGAACCAACTAGCCTCTTCACGGGTAAAGAACACTTTCACTGCAACCTTTTCTCCTCTCCAGCGACCAAGCCACACTTCTCCATACCGCCCCTTCCCGATTTGACGTACCATCTGAATTTGTTTGGCAATGGTGCGCTGGACCTGTGAATCGACATTGGACAATTAGAAAACTGGACAACTATGTATCAGAAATCTAAATATTTCACGGTTCCGAAACAACAAAAATTGCAAAACCATTTGTCAAGGGTTCCCATGCCTTCTGACCAATGAATTTATGATGTTTTCAGTTTCATGACATTTTCAGCAATTTGTGATTACTGGATAATAGGGGTGTAACAGTACACAAACATGACGGTTCTGTACGTACCTCGGTTTTGACATCACGGTTCGGTATGGTTTCGGTACAGTAGGAGGAAAAAACTAAACATAAATAGTTTTTAAAAAAAATTTTATTTAACAATGGTTTACTGAACAAATTGCTCTTTCTTTAAATAAATTCAATTATAATACATTTTCTTAGAGATAAAAATCTACATCAGCTTCTGCTCTAAACTATAGGGAGCTCTTTTATATTGCTATAAGTTTACAATTAACAACAGAGCCCAAACCTAAATTCAATTACTATTTATTTTTAACTATAATATTCAACACTCAAATTTAAAAATTGTATGCAAACATGTAAATTGTTTTTAACACTAATTGAGCGATTATGTGAGGGGTGAGATGTTCATTCATGAATATTTTGCATTAAAAATAGTAATAAAGTATAAAAATAGTAATAAAATAGTAATAGTAATAAAATAGTGATAAAAATTATCGAGCTCCGCCGTTAGTGTACGGTGATATGTCAACCCTTAAAAAAAGCATCGAAACGGCATTTATTGTCTGAATTTCCTGAAAAAATGGAACGATTTGTTTGGTACATATGCACATACACCGAACTGAAAGACCTGAACTGAAAATTTTCGGTACAAATACGTGTACTGTTACACCCCTACTGGATAATGATTTTCAAAACAAAACAAAACAAATGTTCTGGCCAATAAAATATTTTAGATCTGTGCACAACTACAAACATTTATAATTACTAAAGAAATTTCCATTACCTTTCCCTGACTTTTTTTTTTATAACTGAAAACCACAATTCTCTGATATTTACTGGTTTTCAATAACCTTTAAAACCATGTTCTGATAATGAAAAGCATGTTCAGAAATGGTGCCTCACCAGCAGGGGGAGCCCTGAACCGGAGCCAGTGCTGGACTGACTAATGAGATCTTTGAGAGACTCTCCTGCAGGGATGAAGGCCTCGTCCTGCTCCAGATCTCTCTGGTACCGTCTCCGTCCTGTCTGCAGCTTATACCTGATCAAACAGCCACACAAAGCATATAATCACCTTCAATATGATGTTACATCACCGAAGCCTCCTACAAAGGGATCAGTTACTTATTACTAAGAGACACAGTATATATCCATGCATTAAGGTCAAGCATAAAAGGTGCTAAATTTACTTGACTATCTTAAACAGGTGTGCCTCTGCCAGTGTTATCAGTGTGCTGGTCAATAATTAACAGACTGAGGTGCATCTTTCATTCATTTCAGCTGAATAAACATGTCATTATGAAATAAAAGTCTCACCTGTAGTAACACACCACAGTTATGGCCACCAAAGTGAAGCAACACACCATCACGGAGATCAGAAAGGCCAGCAAGTGGGCGTTCCATAACTGAGGCTCTGGATTACAATGAGATCACAGAGTTTTAAAAACTGATAGTAATAGGAAATGTTTCTTGAGCACCAAATCAGCATATTAGACACTGAAGACTAAAGACTGAAGTAATGGCTGCTAAAAATTCAGTTTAGCCAATACAGGAAAAAAATACATTTTAAAATATGACTAAAAAACAAAACAAAACAAAAAACATTATTTTAAATTGTGTAATGTATTACTGATTAAATAAAAGCAGCCTTGCTAAGCAAAAGAGACTTCTTTCAAAAATCTTAGACTCCAAACTTTTGAACACAAGTGTATATATACACACAAATACATATACAGTATTTATTATATTTAGGTTGTTCTTAAGTGAAGTGCTACTTACTTCCTGGAATAGGAGGTGGAAGTGTGGGCTGAAGGTCTCTATTACAGAAATCAGTGGAACAGCACTCAATGGTCCGTCTGGTCTGAGCATTAGGAGAGTCCTGCACAATAATAACCACATTCAGTCAATGATAATGTCTCAGCACTTAAGCATTTATTCTTCACCCTCCTGTTCATGTATTACCTTGCACTGGAAGTGGGAGCCCTCATACTTCATGCAGCCAGAGGTGAGGATAGCCTCGCCATGCTCATCCTCCTCTATGATAGCAAAACACTGGCCGTTCGTGCTGCGTAAACACAAAAAGACCATTTAATCACAGTGTGCACATTTGGGTGAGGAAAGTGGAAAGTGGCTGTTGTGAACAGAAGGAAAAGCACACAGTGTACTCACTCGCAGGTGTTGTTTGTGGCATCTTCGGGGCAGTGGCCTGAACAGTAACAGCTAAGGAAGCGGGCAGCATCCTCTGGGGCCACGGTGAACCCGTCCCCTGACAGTGGTCTCTTTGGATCTGATACGGGCTTGACCCCAGTGCCGTGAAGCATGTAGTCTGGGTTCTGCCCACCTAGAAGAATTGAAATACGGGAAACTAAATTTTAGACCGCCTAAAAATGTAACAGTCTCTGACAGAATCATCATTGTGCAAACATTGAGTCATATCAACCATTTTATTGAAGCAGTGAAACTGAAAATCAAAACCAAGCCAAACATGAATATGTGTACGCATAAATTGCAGTCTTAGGACTTGGAATATAATGTATGAACCTTATGCACTATTTTTTATTATACTTTTATAATGTTGTTACATAATATTTTAAGCTTGAAAGCTCTAGTCTTGATTCACAGAAATGAGAAAAGAAAAAGAAAGAAAGAAAAATATACATATAATATATACCTATACAGAGATTTTGTACTTTATAAGCTATATATATAGAAACATATATATATATATTATGGCTGGGCGGTATATCGAGTTTGTATGATATATCGATATTTTCTTTATAAGCGATTTGATGTGAAGCAATACCGTTTATATTGATATACAGTAGTTTGATACGAGCGCATCTGAAAATATAGCGGAGGACACAGACTGAGCTGCTGCGGAGAAAGTGCATAATCTAAACTGTTCTAAACATGTGACAAGCTTCATATTAAGTCCTTTAAAAGCTGGTAAGACATAGTTTATAGTTTCATTTCGCATATTAATTTAAGCGGCTTACCCCGTCAGATGCTCGGACAGAAAGGCTGCATGTGCCGCTGACAGAGACGCTAGGCTACTTGCGCTGTTTAATGTGTTTGAGATGTGCTGTCTTCCTGAATGCATAACTTACATTTCACAGGTATATTCTCCATCTGTACATGTTAGAAAGCCATGGAAATATGTCAATTTTTCTGTCAGAAGTGCATGAGCCTTCTGTTTTGGGATTCTCCGCTAAATTTCACAGACTTCAGTGAACGAGCGCCGCCGTGCGCATGTGCGCCAAACAGACACAGCTCAATCAAATAGGAGAGCAATACTTCTGACTAAAATATACATTTAGCTGAAATATTTGTAGTTGGACAGTAAATGTGACATGTAGAATTTTAAACCTACAAGTAAGTCTATTTTATGATAGCACTGACTGTCGTGACTGAAATGGGGTAATCAAAATCCCCTAACACAACACAACTGCTTTTGTTCTCATTTTTAGTTTAGTGAATTTAACTTCCGCTTTAAAAGCCTTATTTTTGTTTTTAGATGGCAATGTTACAATGTTAGAATGAAATTTGATTTTAACCCTTTTTTACACATAATATAAAGGCTTACATGGTTACATTTACTTTATTTGTTTTCATAGCCTTTAATATGTATTGTTTTGTTGGACAACATTGGGCGGTAAGTGAAATATATATATATCAGGGCTTGCACAATTTCAAAATCCCTGGTAGCCCTTCGGGCAGGCATTCTTCAGATTTTGGTAGCCCCCAAATGAATTTAACTAGCCCGAATAAAAGATATTGTATTTTTTCTTCAAATAACAAGTCAAGAGAGTAGGGGTGCAACGGATCACAAATCTTATGGTTCGGATTATATTACATTATCATATCACATTTTGAGTCACAGATCGGATCATTTTTCAGATCAGCAAAAAAAATATGGTTCTTTATTATAAGTAACACTTATTATTTAAAGAACAATTTACTACTTCGATACCACAGCAAAAGAGATGTTGCATACATGTTATTTAGATTGCAAAATTTTGAAATTTGAAACAAAAACAAAATGGTCTGACTTTAGCTTTGATACTACATAAAAAATCTGAACAAAACAAAAACAGCAGACGGGCTGAATGAGACGCAAATGTCACTCTCTGACAGCAGGTGGCACTTAAACAGCAGGTATTTATAGGCTGCTGCCCCTTTAAGACTGAATGCACAGATCCAATATAATGATGCACATGCGATTTCTTTCTCCACTGTTTACGTTCATTTAAAGGTGCAGTGTGTAAATTTTTGCGGCATCTAGAGGAGAGGTTGCGAATTGCAACCAACGGCTCAGTTCCCCGCTCACCCCTCCCTTTAGAGAAGCTACGGTGGCCTACACAGGTAAAGATGTTGTCGGTAAAGACAGCAGAGCAATGAGATTTCTTTACAAAGGTAAATTAAGGAATTATATTTACTTAATCATTCAATAAATCGATGTTATTGCGAATGTTAATGTACTTGTTCATCATTGTGTCAGTGTTTTATTGGCGAGAACAACAAAGTGACGAAACGCGCTCTGTAGAGCAGTTTGTCCGTTTAGGGCTACTGTAGAAACATGGTGGCGACTTCCATATCAGGGGACCCGCGGTGTATGTAGATAGAATTTTGCTCAATCTAAGGTAATAAAAACATAACGGTTAATTAAGGTCTTTATACACATCTGAAAACATAGTTATGTATATTATATTGCATTTCTGTCAATAGATCGTTGTAAAATACTTGGCGAGATAATTTTGCGTGTATGCGTCCGTTCAAGCGAAAGAGAAGCGTGCTCTGCCTGAAATGTGCTCTGCTCCGCTCTGTATGTGCGCGCTTTGAGTATATAGATACAGGTGAAAGTATTTGATTGATATTACTTGGAATGCGCAATAAATTTTTTAAATTTTAGGCTATATATACATACACACACACACACACACACACACACATATATATATATCTCAAACCTATAAAATTCACAGCCACTTGGAAACAAAACCCCTCTTATTGCCTTCTGTGCTAAATTATACTGCAAGGAATCAAAGGATCTTAGATAAATAGGAGGGAGTGAGGAAAACAGATCACTATAGACTGTGAGTAAAAGAGGGCGATAAGGATTGAAAACAGGGACAAAGAAAGAGAGACATGCAGATTTCTCTGTGCTGTAACTTGATCCGTCTGATTGCGTGAGCATTTGTTGCAGACAGACAGGGTGCATATTGCCCCAGGCACAAAGAAATGTGTGTTTAGTATTGCTGTGGGTGCTTCCTCTTAAAGCCCTGCTGTTCGTCCTGCAGGTCCGAGCAGGCCTACAGTCAAAAAAAGCCCACACTAAAACAGACATGCTGCTGTTTAGTAAAACACCACATTCCACTCCTAGGATCTCATTACTAGGGCCACGCTTCAGACCCATCCCACGTCTTAAGACTGCTTCAGTCCTCTCTCTGAATATTAACATAAATATCAGATGGAGATGGAGAGAGTCCCTCTGAATCACAGTGCCTCATTTCCCACTGTAGATGGGCAAATTCAAACAAATATAAATGTCAAACTCCATCCAGTAGGCAGATCTTACCTGCTATCAGCAGAGTTACATTACAGCAACACCTCCAGCCATATCACCTGGGGTGGAGACCACTAAACTGATATACAGTCTGATAAAACAGAAGCATGGAGCCAGGATGCTTTAATATATCAGCCTGCATGAAGAGGACATGGCACAATAATATCGGAGGAAGAGAATAAACAAACCGCTTGTTAAACATCTACAGGAGAATCACACTACAGGAGAATTCAGTGAGAATCTCATAAAAATATATTGTTTCTAATTAGATACGGCTCCATATTTACATTCATATTTAGTGCAATCAATGAAGAAGCAGAAACTTCTAAAATGTCATTTAAGTGTGAGTATGGCGCTTCTATGGCATAATGGATACAAGCAAAGTCCCCGACAGAGCAGTAAATGTAATAATATATGTAAAAATATGAAAATATTGACTATATCTGTGACACGGAGAATAGAGGTCTGCGCGGGACTGTTTTTTTAGTCCCGCCCTTGCAAGGTTCTATTCTGCACCCACCTGCTCCCGCTATATATTCACTCTTTGTTCACCCGTTGTCCGCTTAGAATAATTTTCTTCCCGACCCGACCGTTCCCGCTAAATTTAGATCTCGTTTCCAGAATCTCACATTTAAATTTCTGCTACTGAAAGAAAGAGAGATAGGCTGACAAATAAAAGTGTAGTCTGCACAAAATTGTATGTTATTTTATTCGTCTTGTCAAGAGTCTTGAATTTATTGACTTTGACTTGAATTTATATGAATTATCTTAAGACACAAAACTTGTTTAATGTTTTATGCAACACAGTAGGAAAAAAATGTCAGAGAAAATAAAAATGTTGTACAAAAATTGTCTCTCTTATTTTTATTCGTCTTGTCAGGATACAATTCGTTTAACAATGACAACACAATAGGGAAAATGTAGGTTGTACAAAATAGCCTATTAGCTATTTTTATTCGTCTTGTCAAAATACTAAATTTGTCTTGTCAAAATACTAAATTCGTTTGACATTTTTCTGTTAACACAGTAGGAAAAGTTTCGCAGAGAAAAATAAATAAATACGACATCTTTCATTTAAAATTATAGGCTAAGCAAAATGAGTTGAATGTCCTTCAAGGACAGCGCATCCACACTTTGCTCCATCCTTATTCTGCTCTGTCACTCATCGACAACCTGCCTGTTCTGTCTGAGGCCCGTATATTTACCACAGGTAGGCTACAGCCTGCTCTGAGCATTATGAACATGCTGCGCACAGACCACGCAAATAAAAAGTGTGACGTTTAAAGCATGCATGCAGCGCATGCATAACAGTCCTGAGCGCAAGCTGTACCCTACCAGTTTGTTTATTCTCTTCCTCCGATATTATTGTGCCACGTCCTCTTCAGTCTCCGTATTTTTATTTCCCAATCAAATTTTTTTTTTTTTTAGATTTTAATAACTGCAACATTAATTTTTACAGTCCCACAGTAAAAAAAAAAAAAAGTACAAAACATTAAATAAAATTACTGTTTTTTTAAACCATCAGAAATTAAATGCACTACGACACAGACAAATACTCATATTGTAAATATTAAAATATACTATAATATATTTAATATGCTTCATTATCTCTATAAAAAATAAATGTCACAATATTTTATATATATATATATATATATATATATATATATATATATATATACACACACTTACACATACACATACATACATATCTGGATATTTGTCTGATTTACTCTCCATTTACAATCCAGCTAGGTCTCTGAGGTCATCCAATCAGA